AACAATTCCTAAGCTGATTCCAGGCTGTGCTTGCTTTTTATGCCAGAGCACCTGTCAGGAAAAAAATTTCCACTTGTCACAGGAAGTATCAGCTGCTCAGTGGTGGGATCCACCCCACCTGTTCTCCCCCATGACAACTGGAATATACCACAGAGTATCTAACCCTCCCCAGCACCCATGAAGAAGGGGGTGGAATGTAGTCTTCTGGCCAACCTTTAAAGCCCAAGTGATAGTCCTAAAATGTTGTATCACTAAGGAAATATTTGTATACAAAGACCTCCTTCAATTTAGCTTCGAACAACATTTGAAGGTTTCCCATTTATAGAAACAATTTGTTCTTTAAGGCACCTTTTTTTTTTTTTTAAATGAATAAGGCATTTATCTAATTGTGCCCCCATCTTATGCCAAAAAGAGGTAAATCTACAGGCAGGATCCTGCACCCCTAAAGCTTTGACCAAATGTATCGCTGCATTCTTCTCCAGCAGGTGTTTGAAGATGAGATACAAACTGATTGCTCTTGGAAAAAATGGCTTTATTCAGCACAGTAAGGTCTTCGCCGCCCACCACTCTGTAGAACCCCTGGCCCTGGTGACCTGGGCAGACTGGGTGGGACCAAGAGGATAAGAACATCCTAATGAGCCTGGAGGAGGAGCCCTGGTGGCGCAGTGGTTAAGAACTTGGCTTGTAACCAAAAGGTCGACAGTTCAAATCACCAGCCACTCCTTAGAAACCCTATGGGCAGTTCTACTGTGTCCTATAGGGTCGCTATGAGTTGGAAGCAACTGGACGGCACACAACAACAACGAGCCTGAAGCAGTAGATGAGTATTCTTCTTGACGTCTTTCACTTAGTTCCTGTCTACAAATTATTACTGTACCACAGAGCTTCTCAACCTGGGTACTCTCGACATTTGGAGCCAGATGATTATTGTGGGGTGGGGTACTGCTCTGTGCATTGTAAGATGTTTAGCAGTATCCTTCGCCTCTACCCACTAGATTCTTGGAAGCTGCTGCTTATAAGCAGAATCCAAAAACTGTCAAATAGGTTTAAAGAGGGTGAGAGAGTAGAAGTCTGAAACATCAAGTGAATGGAGTGGTGAAATGTTACATATATCTGTAAAGGATTGAATTAAACACAAAAACAAACCTGTTGCCATTGATTCCGACTCATAGCGACCCTGCAGGACAGAATAGAATGGCCCCATACAGCTTCCAAGGAGCTGCTGGTGGATTTGAACTGTAGACCTTTTGGTTAGCAGCCGAACTCTTAACCACTGCACCACCAGGGCTCCAAAGGGTTGAATTAGAGATCTTAAAAGTGGACTCTGAAGGAATCCTATACTAAAAAGCTAGGGCTTGAGGGGACAGGAGTAGGAGAAAATGACGCCTGTCTCACAGAAACCCTCACCAGTCTCTTTGTCCCCTCAAACCCTGGGGTATCCCCCTTGTTCCCATGAGGAAGTCCCCTGGCTGCTACTCTAGGAAGTGGGTGGGGTCTGGGAATCCTCTGTTCTAATCCCTCTGTTTTTGGCAGATAAGGAAACCAAGGTCTGCCCTCAAAGAAGTAACTTGCCTGAGTTGTTAGATGATTACAAGGGCTGGTCTCGTGCTTCTCAGTCCAGCATTCCTCCCTCAGACCTGCTGGGGTCTGGAAGTCTGGTCTTGTGGTCTCAAAGGAACTTGCCTGTGCCCTTCCCTAGTTGTGAGAGATGTCTGCAGATCTGAGAGAGTGAGGAAAAGACCACATCCCAAGTCCTAGCTGTAGGTTTCTACTTTGCAACTGCAGTTGATTGAAGAAAAGCTCAATTGTGTAGAACTTGGGGGGGTTTAGGGAGGCAATGGAGGAAACAGTTTATCTAAGCCAGGAGTGTTGGTCCCTCGTCTACCCTCATACTGTTTAAAATGTACTGCAACTTTAGGCACAGGTAAGATGAAGGCAGGAAACGCCCATTAGCAGAGCTTCCTGAAACCCACTGACAGCTTTCTATATTTGATGCGACTCGGGGGCTTCTCCATCATTTGGCACTAGACAGGCACAAGGGGCCTGGGAAGTACCTCGTTGAGGCTTGGCTTAGCGTTCTGTGTACTAATCAGTTTCCCACTTTCCACCCAGTCTCTAAGACCTGCTTTCCCTCTGCTCTCAGACCCTTTCAGAACAGCATATCCTAGGCCACCTTCACCTGGAGTTTTCTCTCCAAGCTGTTTTAGCTTTGGACAGGAATGTTTGAGGTGCTCCATTTACTCGTTTGCTCATTGGTTAATGGCATCATTACTCTACCTTTCATCCTGCTGTTAGGATCGTAATGATGTTCCTTTAACAGCCCAGAACAGCATGCTCTGAATACTGAGCTGCAGAAAGCAGCTTCTGCAGTTCCTCTTCACTTCCCTCCTCACCCTGGAGAGAAACAACTGCATTCCTTTGGCCAGGGAAAGCACCCAACGCCGTCCAAAGGGGAAAACCCTTTATTTTAAAAATGAAGCACCAGCCTGCATACCTATGCAGTGAGGCAGCCCAAGCTTGGTTTGGGGGGGTCCTCAGCAAGAGGATGATGGAGCAGCTATTTTCTCCTCCTACACGTGCACCCCATCTGCTAGAGAGTTCTCTTCCAACTCCAGCTTGGCTGGCAGGCATGTCCTTAAGAAGCTGCAGGCCAAAATGGAGAGAGAGAACTGACTCCCTCCTCCACACATGCTGACTTGCTGCCAACTGCCAGAAAAAGAGGGCAACATTTGGGCATTTACCAGAAGACAAGGATGTGCCTTTTCATTTGTCTTTTTATTTTACATTTAAAAAGTGGTTATTGCTCTAACTGGATCAGAGGTAAGGACCTCTCCCCTAAGGAGCCTTGGCTTTACAGCCCCATTCAGCAGGGATGGAAGTCACAAGACAATGGAGTGGAGCCTCATGCCCTCCCATGAGGAAGCCCTTAATATTGCTGACATCTACCGTCTGCCCTGTCTCTCCTCCCTCCCTGCACTCCCACACTCAGGCAGAGCAGAGTGGTGGCCAACCCAGCCATAAGAGCTCTTATAGACTGGAAGGAAGGGGCAGTCATCAGTGATGGCTTTCAGCTCTCTGGCTTGGCAGCCACTGCTCTTATCATTCAGTTCAACAAACATTTTCTGAGTGCCTACTGTGTGCCAGGCTTGTGCTAGGTGCAGCCCTCCCACACTCCATCCCCCATCCTTGTCCACCAACGGAAGATGCAGAGGTCCATCCCTTCCCACGCAGGCATGCGGCAGCCGGAACTTATCAGTCCTAGGGAAGAGTCTGCCTTCCCTTCTCAAGCACCATTTTTTTTTTTTTTTTTAACCAGAAAGGGGCAGTGGAGAGAGAGAAACCTGCTGTCTCACACTACTCAGGCTCTAAGGAAGGACATGAGGACCCTGGATAGCTTTCACGGAACCCTGGATGAGATGGCAAGATGTGGAGACTCCAGAGGCCAAGGGTGATAGCCAGGGCTGTTCTGCCTGTCCATGGTGAATGGTTCAGGCCTGCCTTCCAGCAGCTTCTGCTCCAGAATTGGTGGCTTCACAGACCCAGGATGCTGGATGTAGACATACCTTTTCAGCTGTCTATGTTAGCACTGCTGAAACTCTAAGAGACGTTTCCTAAAGAAACAGGGCCAGTATCTCCCACTCCTCTTTCCTACTTCTTCTTAAGACCCCATCCTGATGATCTTACAATCTAAGTAAGGGCCAAAGAAGACCGAGGATACAAGGAGCCAGCTCAGTCCTTGGAGGACCCCTCTGCCCTCTGGAGTGGAGCCTCTGATTATGTTTTCCAAAAGAGATAATATCTTACGCTCGAAAAATTGTACATCACAAGTTCTTGATGGCTGGATCCAGAAAAGGCTTGATGGCAGCCCTGACCTTTCAAGGCAGGCAGCCCCACGGCTTCCCTGACGTTCCTTGGTCTGAAAGATACAGCTTGAGTCGTCAGTCTAGGTGCTTGTCATCTCCCAGGAGCTTAGTGCATTTTCTCAGAGAGGAAGCCAGGCCAGGAGCAGCAAGGAGGCAAAAAGCTGTGTCTTGTGCAACTTTGCCTCTTTTAGAACAGGGCCAGGCCTTTTAGTTTTGTGGCTTGTTTATTTTTTGCAGGATTTGGGTTTTTAGTTCAGCCTCCTTTACCAGACTAGGCCAGGGGAAGAGGGAGAACTGTGCAGCTAGCTGTGCCTCCTCCCCAGGCCACGGTCCTCCCTCTTCCTGTGCCCCTGGACCTGGGGACCAGCAGAGAAGAAAAATGAAATCCTTCTCCCTGCAGAAAGCCAGTCACGCCTGGATGATGTTCACCAAGGGCTTGTTTGGAAACTGAGAGGGAAAAAATGAGAGAAGCGGCCAGGGCTAATTGAATAGACTTCTTGCAAGACTGGCAACAGGGAGAGGATGGAAGAAGGAAGAGAACAGCAGGGCTGCGGACTAAGGGCCAAGCTCTTGTCCTTGAGGAAGGAAAGAGTAGCCCTGCCTGGATGTCTTGTCTCTCTGCCTTCTCAAACCCAGCCTTCGGCCTCACTCAGCTGAATGGCTAAGACTGGGTTCTGGGCCGCGGCCCCTGGCACCCCAGTTGGACCCCAGCAGAGCCATCCCTCTGGCTGGTTCTCCATCTTGCAGATCTGCCTCTGAGCACATCCTCAGCCACTGACATTGTTGAGGTGCTTCTGGAGATGGGAGCTAATAAGAGGCTTCAGGAAAATGCCAGAAAGAGAGGACGGTAAGCCAGAGGGTACAAGGAGCTGGAAGGAGGAGGAGATGTAGAGAGGGCCAGATGCTTGTTGAATAATCATCGTCAGAACCATGAGATCCTCTCACATTCTCTATTGTCTTTCTTCTGAGCTGCTCAGATCAAGTACTGAAAAGGTTTTCATATCTGTTTTACAGAAGAGGAAAGGAAAGCACAGAGAGGTAAAGCACCCACCCAAGGTGACACAACACAGCCGGAACAGAATTGAGCCCAGGACCCCTACCCCTGTTTTCCCACACCAACCAAGAGTTCTGCCCTCTCTACTCGCTGTCTTTTTTTTTTTTTAACCACCTCTGGCAGCCTGCAAAAGGAAAGGATCCAAAATCAATTTGCATTGTCCCCTGTGTCACACAAGCAGAGGCCAAGCTTGGCTCTGTCCGGCTGCAGCAATGCCAGGCCCTGAGCTGACCCCTTCTGCAGTCCAGGGATGACCAGTGCACAAGCCACCGGCCGCCCACCCTTGCTGCCCTCACCTTGCTGCGGAGAAGACCCCCGCCCTGGTGCTCTGGTGTGCTGGTTTCTGATGCACTCTTGGTTTTTTCCTTGCTATTGTTAGGTTCATTGTCCTTGATGATGTCATACTGGCGGCAGAAGAGGGCGATGACACCTGGGGGGCACAAGGAGGAGCAGTCAGAGGGCAGAGCCCGAGTCCTCTTCAGGCAGCGTCATTCCCACCAGCATTAGCTGGGCACCTGCGAGGTACCAGGCTCCAGGCACTCTCACCTACACTACTGTGACAGTCTCCCTCTGGACTCTGGCTCTGGGGTCCACCTGTCCCCTATCAGCTACCCTTTCTCTGCTGCTGGCTGATCCTCCTACAACATGCTGATCATGTCTCCTCCCTCCCCTTCTTTTACCAAAGCTCCCTTTTTCCTTCAGGGGAAAATAGAAACAATAATAACATTTGCTGAGCACACGCCAGGCCCTGTGCTATGCACTGACAGTCTATCTCAATCCCAAACAACCCTGTGAGGGCACCTGGTAGTGTCACCTCAGCTACAAGCGAGGACACTGATGCAGAGTTTACATAATTGACTCAAGGTCACACAGTGGTGGAGCTGGGATGTGACCTCCAGGGCCTGCACTCCTGCTAAGCTTTTATTTTTATCAGACTACTAATATACATACCTAATATATTTTGAAAATCAGATAGTATTAAGGGAACTCCAACTCTTCTGTTTCTCCCATTTTTTACCTTTATACGTCTAAATACTTACATTGCTGTTCCGTCATTTATCTATTTTAGATATTGTCTGTTGACTTCCCACCATGATAAAGACTTCTAACAATTCCCCCTACTTCCCCTTCCCGTTACCCTAACAGAATTACATCATAATTTTAGGTTAATTCACGATGTTTATATTGTTACGATTACATAAATAGCCTGTGCCAAGTCTAATAATGCACCATAAGCAAACCTCCTCTCTTGTACAACCCTTTGTTTTTCCTGCCTTTTTCAAGTGCCTGTTTTCCTATGTGCCTAAGGAAATTTTTTTTCTCAAATGCCTCTACAATAGAGCCTGGCCTCTCAACCACCATGTTCATAAAGCTTTAGCACGATTTTCAAGTCCCTCAAACCTGATCCCAGTCTACTTCACAGCCTACCTCCCATTACTCCTCTGCTTTCTACCTGCTTTCTTAGGTTGCAGCTGCACTGAGCCAGACTGAGTTTAGTTTCTTGAACACACCACGCCCAGAATGTTCTTCCTCTTTTGGCTGCCTAGTGAACTCTTCTTCATCCTGCAAAGCTCAATTCCCACATAACTTGCTCTCTGTGTTTTTCCTGATTTCTACCCCTAGCCCCAACATTAATTGCCTCTCCTCTGCTCCCATACATACTATTAAAGCACTCATGACATTGAAGTCAACCCAAAATTATGATGTAACTCTGTTAGTTACGTATGGGCCTGGCTTCCTGAAAGCACAGGCCTCTTCTTAGTCATGATTGTAGCCCTATGGCCTGGAATGAAACAGGTGCTCGGTAAATGCTGGTTGCTGGGTACAAAGATGAATGAAACTTGATCTTCATCCTCAGGGAGCTCACAGGCCAGTGGGAAAAGAAAGAGACACGAGTCTAACTAACTTATGTAAGAAGTGCTAAAGAGAAAGGCAGGCAGTGTGTGGTGGGAGCACAGAGCAGGAGGGCCATTCTAATGGACGGGTTTGGGGAGGTTGCATGGTGGCCGTCTCATTAGAGCTGGGTAGTTTAGGAGGGTGTCCTGAGCCTGAGGTCAGGCAATGACTTCCTCTAAGCTGCCCAGGCCTGAGGTCCCTCAAGGCACAGCAACCCAGAAGAGGAAGGAGAGGCTGTGGCCTTGGCCAAAGCGTAAAGGGATTAAACATGTATCCACTCCCAGAAGCTGGGACCACTTCTGAGGGGAGGGAAACACAAGTACTCATATAATCCTATAAGACAGCTATCAATATGTTATTTTATTTATTTTGGTGTGGGGCGGGTGAGAGAAGGGATCAGGTCTGGTCCCCAAAGCTGTCCCAGGCAGGACTTAAGAGACTTCTGATCTCTTCTCTTAGAGATTTACAAGCACCTTACCCTTTGCTTCTGTAAGAGAAGAGGCCTGGTTGGGGCCCTCCATTTGCCAGAGGCTAAGTGAAGAAGAAGAAGGGTCTGGAGGCCCAGACTCACCCGCCCACATGAACAGGACCACCACGATGATGAGCACCTCACCCGTCCGCAGCTGTTGGTTCCTCCCCATTTCCTTCATGGTCACCTCATCTGTGGGGACAGAGACACTAGGTCCTTGGCTCCTTGCCCCCAGCAACTCCAGGACCAAGCCCAAGCACTTTTAAGATAATAAGTACTTGTTTCTATAGGTGCCCACACATCTAATGTTCAGAGATACAAGAACATGTTGATGACCGCTTGGCTGGGGGCAGGGGAGCCCTAGTGCTTTCCTCAAGCCACCCACTGCTCTGGCCCTGACGACCCTCATCCCACCTCCTCCTTTCCTAACAGTGCTGGGACCTACCTTTGTTCTTAGAGGTCATCTTCTCTGCCTCACGTGGGGTCTTGAAGAGCACTGGCTCGCTAGCCGGGCTCTGGCCCTGGATGGAGATGGCTTGCACGTGCACAATGTACTCAGTGTCCTCCTCCAGGTCCCAGAGGGCACAAGAGCGGGTGGTGGTGTTCACCTCCTGGATGAAGCGCAGCATCCGCACGTCCTTCTTCTGCAAAGGCAAAGCCAGGCCCACAGTTTACAGTGCCCAGTAACCAACCACCGCTCTGCCCACCTCTCCAGCAGTCACAGCAGTCTCATGCTACCATGCTAAATCCTTTACACACAAAATCCTAAGCATCCCGTCATCTCATTTTCTCCATTTGACACAGAAGGAAACTCTCCGAAGGTTAGCGAAGTTGTCTAAGGCATACACATCTACTGAGAACTGGAGCCAGGTCCTAAACTCAGGTCTGTCTGTCTGAGATCAAAACTGTGCTCTTAATTCACATGTTCTGAGTGAAAGCTCCTGAACCCTCCCTTACTGATTCCCTTCTGGGGCCCCAATTTCGAGCCCTATGTGCAACTTTCTGCCTGTCTCTTTTGCTCCTCATTTCTTTTTCCTTTCTATTTCTATCTTGATGTGTTCTTCCCTCCCAGAGACTTTGAGAGTTACCTGCTGAGAGATGGCAAATCCGATGACAACCTCATCCTCCAGGACATCCCAGCTCACCACCGCCGAGTTGGCCTTGAGGTGCCTGACAGTGACATTCACTGGGGCCGAGGGGCTTTCTAGGGGGTGGGGAGGCACCTGAGCCTGAGCATCCTCTGTTGCGAGGCCTAGGCCCACTGCCTCGTGAGGCAGGAAGGACAAAAGGAAACCCGGGGAAGGCCATGTAATCGGGGAAGGAAGAAACCAAGGGCTCACATGGGTCAGGGCCATGGGTAAGGGACTCAGTTCCTCCTTGGGTTGAAGAGCCCAGCCTGAGTCCCCAGGCTCCTTGTGTCCCAGTGGAAGCCCCTCTGGCCACAAGCTGGCCCCACCATGGGTCCAAGGCTATAATTGATGGGCCTGGGCCACAGCCAGATTTAATGAAAGGGCAGTAAGAGGTGAGGGGCCAGGTATAGGGAAGGCATAAGTGATTGGGGGTACAGGAACTGCACGAAAAGCAGTCAAAAGGACTCCCAGTCCAGCGCTCTTTTCTACAAAACTACACTCTCCAGTGAGTGACCTTGAGGGAAGGAGAAAGACCCAGAGGTAGGGAAGAGCCAGGTTGGGGTGAGCCCTAGGATGGGAGTGAGGAGCAACTGAGGAGCCCCTCAGGAGCATGGTGATCCAGGCAGAATGAAGCTTGGGGAAGGGTCTGCATGAGCCTCTTCTCCAGATTCCGCCAGCCCTAAGAGGTGGAGCTGGATGAGGAGGAGGAAGGGGAAGACGGGGTCACTCTTAGTGGGGCCCCTCAGTGGAGTCAAGAGGACAGGGTAGGGCCTTCTGGATGGAGAAAGAGGGAAGAAAAGGATCAGCAGAGAGGGGAGTTAGAGGGAGAGTTGTGGGGGTGGGGTGGAGGGTCAGGAAGGAAGAACCTCCTAGGAGAGGGGCAGGGGAGTCACACAAGCCTCTATATCTCCCAAGGAGCAGGTGCTGCAAGGGGAAGGCCTAGGCCTGAACAGCACCCCCTCAGCCCGTGGGTGAGTGGACCCAAGGCCCGAGGAGCTGGGCCTGGGGCCTGGGGGAGACAGAGCCAGATGTGCAGATGATAGAGACAGAGGGACACAGACAGGTGGAGGCCAACAAAGAACCACAGAAGAGACAGGTAGAGTGTCAGAGACAGACACAGAAGGAAACAGAGACAGACAGCGCTGAGCCATGGAGAGACAGGTAGAGAAGAGATGAGCGAGGCAGCAGCCAGGAGGGACAGAGACGAGTTGCAGGGAGAGCTAGGGGAGGATGGGGCCAGGCCGACGGGGCAGGCCAGACACTGACGGCACCCACCCAGTGCCCACCTGGGGAGCCAGTCCCCTCACACATGCTCAGGCACACTGGGATCCTAGCCTGCTCCAGCTCTGTCCTGCAGAGTTGGCCTGCGGAGCTTTGAGAGGTCTTTGGGGACAGGGGAGGAAGGCCTAGGGTTGGGGGGAAGGGGAATGTCCTCAGCTGCTCCCTGGACCAGAGAAGAGAGCTAGTGGACGTGAAGCAAAAGCCTGGGGTCAGGGAGATGGGATTAGGGGCTTGGGGACCACAGACCCTAGCAAACCCAGGACTGAGATAATGAGAAGGGCCCTGGAGA